AGTATTAGTTAAACATACAACAAGCTATTTTGTCTCTGGGCCTGTGTAATAATGAATTCTTCTTTTGAAGACTGGGAAACAGTTGACCTTTTTGAAGCCATGAACTGCAATAAAGTGCAATACAAGCAGTAGTCAGAGACATGTCACGTCAACCTGCTGATCAAAAGCTGTTGAAAGCTGCCATAAAGAATAAGGTGCATCTGACTTCAGTGATGTTAAAATATATAAAAAAGTGTGTCTTAGAATCACTGAAATATGAGTTGAAAGAAAATAAATGGCACATCCCTAAATGTAACTGCCATGTGACTTGAAAAATGTGGTAAGCCATCAATGATCTCATCTTTGACCTGAAGATGGGCTCACTGCAAAAGGTAGTTCTTCACTTTCCATTTTTGCCCCCAAAGTGCCATTTGGCTTAAGTTAGCCAATGCTTATTGTGGTTTAGGGAAAGCATCACAAACCTTAAAATGCCAGGTACCCACTGCAATGAGTGAAAATTTCATATCACAGTGGATCTTTTGGGCCACTTAAAAATCTTGCTCAGTTTTTCAATTACTAACTTACAAAAATTCTGATCATAGTCAGATGCAGGGAAACCATGTTTTCAAGTAAGGGAAAGGAGCATTTGCTGGTAACTAAAAAGTGATACTTACATGGTGCCTGGGATGCTGTCACCCCAATCTTCTCACCCCAGTGTTGTGTGGTGAGAACTGGCCCTGGCCATGAAAAGCTTGAACACAGAGCCTAAGTAGGTCTGCCCATTCCTGCCAGGTCAGTCATACATCAGAAAAACTATGAAGATGCAAAGTCACCTGTGATGCTCTGTGGATATGAGACCATATTGGTGCCATCACTTGCTCAGATCTTTTTAATGTTAGAGGTTCTGAACAGGAAGTTGTAGAATAACCATATGAGGTCAACAGTAATATCTTTCTCATTTTTACAGATAAGGAAGGGAAGGGAGGCCCAGAAAAGCTCATAACCTGTCCAAGGCCTGGAGCCTAGATATGAATGATAGTATTCTGACTCCTGAATCCACATTCTCCCAACCACAGCTCTCTTCTGCCTCTTGTGAAATTTCCAGAAGAGGACCCATTCAAAGGAAAACAAAGAATAAACCCAGGGAAGTGATTTTATCAGGTAAAACTGCAAAATGCAGTGTTTTTTTCTTTTCCTAACACTCTAAAGATGTATAGAACAATGATGGTTCAAAATAATTTCTTTATCCATCATTGAGATGCATGTCTGCACAAAATTCAGGCACCAATTTTAGGGCCCTCCCTGCATGAATTATAGCGAGAGTCAAAGTTCACAAAATGCTAGAGTGGGAATAATTTAAATTCATTCATTTCATAGATGGGGAAACTGAGACTAGAAAAGTGACAGAACTTGGTATTTGCCAAATGGTCAGGGGGAATGGCTGCACATTTGAAACACGTGAGAAGCTTCTAAAGATGTCAGTGCTCAGAGTGTACCCTAAGGTCAATTTAAAATGAATCTTCGGGGAAGGCGTGGGAGTCTTGGCATTTTGGTTGAGAAAAGAAAAATGGACCAACATGTTGAAGCCTTTAAGTTGTGTACTTGGTTCCATGATTAGATAGATGCCTGTCTATCACAGGCTTAATGAAAGATTCAGATACTATTTGATGGGAGTGTTTATAATTATGATATGTAAATAACAAACAAGAGGAGAGTGGCAGAAAATGTGGCATCTCCACATGATAGAATTTTATGCTGTTATTAAAAATGAAGTTTCTGAAGACTTTGTAAAAACATAGGATAATATTTGTCCAATGTTTAAGAATGCAGAAAGCAAGATATAAATGTAAAATGTATATGGAATTGTAAAAATCTGATGAGAAGTACACATAACAAAAGACAGGAAAATATATGTAGCCTTTTCCAGTTAGTGTTTGATAATATGATTCCAACTATAGGACACTCTGCAATGGCAAATCTATGAAGACAGTAAAAAAAAAATTTGTGGTTTCCAGGGTTGGGCAGGGGGAGGGGAGGATGGAGGAATAGGCAGAGCACAGGATTTTTAGGGCAATGAAAGTGTTCTGTGTGTTGCTACAATACTTGTCCTTATAAATTTGTCCAAGCTCATAGAATACCAAGAGTGAACCCTAATGTAAACTATAGACTTTGGGTGATAATGTGTCAATGTAGGTTCATCCATTGTAACAAATACATACCGGGGGGGAGGTTGTATGTGTGTGGAGTGGTCACGGGATATATGGGAACTCTCTGCTTCCTGCTCATTTTGCTGTGAATCCAAAATTCTCAAGTTTTAAAGAACAAAGTTTACTAACTAAAGAAAAAATTAACTGGTGCCATCTTGGGCAGTAGATGCTTTAGTCCTCCTTGCAGTTCAAAGAACATTAAAAAAATCCAACCCATTGAGAATTCAAATTCAAAATGAACGAACGCCAGCAAGATATCAGGCACGTCCCATCTGGGGCATGTGCAATAGTTTCATTTTTAAGAGGAAATATATTAGATCTTAATGTAGAAAGATGACACTTTGCTCAGAAGGTCAAAATGAGCAGTTGTACTCACCATCCTTGCAGATGGCTCCCATCTGACACATTCCTAAGTCTAAGAGATACCCGCTGGGGCAGCTCGTACAGTTCTTGAACCCTGGACCATTGCATGTCAAACAGCTGGTGTCACATCTATGGAGAGAAGGTACAGTTGATCACCCGTTCATCTGTCAGGCACAGGAAAAGATGTGTTTGCTATCAACCTCTTAATGTCTTAAGCTTTACTCCCCCTTTGGAGATGACACACAAATCTTTTCTTACAAGAATTGCTAGGTTTGACAACATTAAAGAAAACATAGCAGATAGACTGTGATTTTAAAGGGGAGAGAGCATGCACTTGAAACAGAAATATTACTTTAAAGGTTTTACAGTGCTCCTAAAGTGCAAAAAAAAAAATCAGTTGGGTTGAAGCTGGTGGTGTCCATAGGTAAATGTTTGAACCTTATTTTGTCATTAATAATTCTGAGTTTCATGTTACTTATAAAGGCAATCAAAGAATAAGGGGTGAATCCACTTACTTTTTGCAGGATTTATATCCATTTTCTGAAGAGTGGTCGAAGTAATAGCTGATACTACAGCTCTGCACACACCTCCCATCCTCCATGAAGTAGCCCTCCGTGCAGTTAATACACCCATCAGCGCCTGCCCCTTAAAGGCAAGACAAATGCAGGAGACAAACAAAATCTCAGAAGAGGTTGCACAGTGGGCTGCTGCTTGCATAGTTTGTGAAAATGGCATCAATAGGTTGTAATTTTAAGAATTAAAATATTTGTGATTTTCCTTAGGTTCTTTGGGGGAAAAACATTCCAGTTTTAGATTGAACCCATTTGCCAAAAACATCAGATCTCTTTGGAAAGAGAAGGAGGTACCACTGGGATATTTCAGTTTTCAATTAGGATAGGCTGCTGAGGACCGACTGCTGATGAGAATACATGCATGATTATCCGAAGAGACAGATGCTTCTCCAGCATTTACTTGAAAAATATCAAGTGGGTTTGCATGAGTGATGGATAAAGACAGATAAACAAAAGCCAAACCAGAGCCAGAAGAATAAGCAAGAGGAGTAGGGAGAAGGTACCAGCACAAGTGGCACAGAAGCGGTGGCAGGGCTGGCAGTCCTGGCCGCTGAAGTACTGTCCATCCTCACAGGCGACGGAACACTGGGATCCCTGCAGGCTGGAGACACAGACACACAGACTGCTGTGATCAAGCAAAAGGTAATGACTCCCCAACTCCTCATGTAACAAATACAGCTCCCCCTGGAGGCCAGTGGATTTGGCAAAGCTTCAAAGCAGGAGAAATTAGCCCTTAAACCCTCTCTTTCCACCCCTGCTCCATGGCTGTAATGCTTCTCTGTGCCTATAATGGTGTCTGTAGCTTATACATATGTTGCAAGCTTTGAGGATATTGCTTTTTTTTCCCTCCTAGGTATAGTCAATTTACAATGTTGTGGTAATTTCTGGTGTACAGCATAGTAATTCAGTTATACATACATACATATATATATATATATTCCTTTTCATATTGTTTTTCATTATAGGCCATTACAAGGTACTGAATATAGTTCCCTGTGCTATATAGGAGGACGTGTTGTAGATCTGTTTTATATCTAGTAGTTAGAATCTGCAAATTCTGAACCACCAATTTATCTCTCCCCAGGGGATACTCTTAATTATTTGACTGGCTGACCCATTTCTTCTTTTCTCAGTATCTTACAACCTGGAGGTTTTAAAAAGTATTTTACTGACCAAGACAATCACCTTACC